TGCGCAACTGTCGCCACTTTCGTGGGCCCCTGGGAGGCCCAGCGGAGGTACGTCCCACTCGGATCACCTCGGGACATCGCCGCCCCTGGGGGGCTTGCGATTTGCGCAACTGTCGCCGCTTTCGTGGGCTCCTGGGAGGCCCAGCGGAGGTACGTCCCACGCGGATCACCTCGGGACCTCGCCGCCCCCATGGGGGGCTTGCGATCTGTGAACTGTTGCCACTGTATTGGGCTCCTGGGAGGCCCAGCGGAGGTGGGTCCAACGCGGATCACCTCGGGACCTCGCCGCCGCCATGGGGGGCTTGCGATCTGCGCTACTGTCGCCACTTTCGTGGGCTCCTGGGAGGCCCAGCGGAGACACGTCCCACGCGGACCACCTGGGTACCTCGCCGCCCCCTGGGGGGCTTGCGATCTGCACAACTGTCGCTACTTTCGTGGGCTCCTGGGAGGCCCAGCAAAGGTGAGTCCCACCTGTCGCCACTTTCGTGGGCTCCTGGGAGGCCCAGCGGAGGTACGTCCCACGTGGATCATTCGGAGGTACGTCATACGCGTTTCTTTCAACGCCCCTGTGTTTCCATGTTGTATAGTTGCCGTTCCTCTTCTTGCTGCGCTCTTCTGAAATCACTGTTGGGTGCTCTTCTTGCGCACTGCGGGTCCTTCGGAATGCCAGTCAGCATTGAGTGGTCCTGAGTATAATCGCCACATGTATGGAAAGGGTTGGGTACGTCACAGGGTAATTCGTCTTCTTAGTAGTAATGTTATTATCCTTACGATTAGTATTACCAAGAGTATAATGATTATGCTTATGCTTCTGCTTCTTCATATTAGTATTACGCTCACCATTATTAATATTATAATGATTAATAGCTTCCTTCTTCTTAGTACTATTATTATCCTTCTTCTTCATCTTCCTCCTCCTCCCGCTCTTCTTTTTCTCCTTAGTATTATTATTATAATCCGCCGGCCCCCTTGCGGGGCCACCAGGCTGTAGGCCGGGAATGTGCTGCTCCCTGTACAAGTTGCAGCTTCCAGTTTCCACTTTTACAGTTCTGCTTCTTGCTGCTTACTCTTCCTTGTTGATGAACGCGCGAGGGTGGGGGAGCCCAGGGAAGGTTCTGAGAATTTCTGGGGGGGTAAAAATTCACACCCCTCACTCAGATCCGCAGAGTCATGGTCCGATAACACAAGGGATTTGCCACATCTTTAAATTTCAGTGGCACCCCTCACGCAGATCGGCGGGATCAGGGTCCAAAAACACAAAGGATGCGCCACATTTCTGAAATTCGGTGGCACCCTGCACGCAGATCAGCGGGGACAGTGTCCAAAAAAGACAAGGGATGCGCCACATGTTTTAAATTCGGCGGCACCCCTGACGCAGATCGGCGGGGTCAGGGTCCAAAAACACAAGGGATTTGCAACATGTCTAAATCCGGTGGCACCCCTGACGCAGATCGGCGGGGTCAGGGTCCAAAAACACAGGGGATTTGCCACATTCCTCAAAATCGGTGGCACCCCTCACGCAGATCGGCGAGGTCAGGGTCCAAAAACATAAGGGATGTGTCATATTTCTGAATTTCGGTGGCACCCCTCAAGCAAATCGGCGGGGTCAGGGTCCAAAAACACAAAGGATGCGGGATGTGCCACATTTCTGAAATTCGGTGGCACCCCTGACGCAGATCGGCGGGGTCAGGGTCCAATGACACAGGGGATGTGTCACATTTCTCAAATGCGGTGGCACCCCTCACACAAATCGGCGGGGCCAGGGTCCAAAAACACAAGGGATTTGCCACATTTCTGAAATGCGGTGGCACCCCTCATGCAAATCGGCGGGGTCAGGGTCGAAAAACAAACAGGTCCCGACAATGCTTCACGGCGGCGCCCAGACCTCATGACTCAGTTTTTGCATCTCATTATCCGAGACAGGGGGCCAGCGGCATGGGGCGAAGCCCTTACTGATAAAAAATGGTAGCATTGTTAGTATTAGTCGTAACAGTATTACTGAACAGTAGTATTATTACGATATGATAATAATGTTGTTATTGGCACTGTGATTGGTATTATTAAGTCGTGTTGCTGTTAATGTTATTATGAATGTTATAAATAGTAGTGTGCTTATTATTAGTCTTAGTATTGGCATTATTAGTATGAGCACTGTGAATGTTAGTATTCGTATTAGTAGTATCAATGGTATTATTACTCTACTAGTATTAGCACTGCTATGATTCAGCTTAGTAGTAAAAAGCTCATTATTATTCTTCTTACAACCCTCCTGTGTTGGGTTTTCGATTTGAATAGAGCAGTGCGGTCGCCCCGACCTCATTCCTCCTTCCTGCTCCTCCTCTCCTCCCCTCCTGCTTCTCCTCTGTTTCCTGTGTTCCCTTCTCCTCTTCTCTCGTGCCGTCTGCGATCTGCGCAACTGTCGCCACTTTCGTGGGTTCCCGGGGGGCCCAGCGGAAGTACGTCCCACGCGGACCACCTCGGTACCTCGTGGTGCCCTGGGGGGCTTGCGATCTGCACAACTGTCGCCACTTTCGAGGTTCCTGGGAGGCCCAGCGGGGGTACGTCTCACGCGGACCACCTCGGTACCTCGCCGCCGTTGCGATCTGCGCTGCTGTCGCCAGTTTCGTGGGCTCCTGGGAGGCCCACCTAGGTACCTCGCCGCCCCCTGGAGGGCTTGCGATCTGCGCAATTGTCGCCACTTTCGTGGGCTCCTGGGGGGCCCAGCGGAGGCACGTCCCACGCGGACCACCTGGGTACCTCGCCGCCCCCTGGGGGTGCTTGCGATCTGCGCTACTGTCGCCACTTTCGTGGGCTCCTGGGGGGCCCAGCGGAGGCACGTCACACGCGGACCACCTGGGTACCTCGCCGCTCCCTGGGGGTGCTTGCGGTCTGCGCTACTGCCGCCACTTTCGTGGGCTCCTGGGGGGCCCAGCGGAGGCACGTCCCACGCGGACCACCTGGGTACCTCGCCGCCCCCTGGGGGTGCTTGCGATCTGCGCTACTGCTGCCACTTTCGTGGGCTCCTGGGGGGCCCAGCGGAGGTACGTCCCACGCGGACCACCTGGGTACCTCGCCGCCCCCTGGGGGTGCTTGCGGTCTGCGCTACTGCCGCCACTTTCGTGGGCTCCTGGGGGGCCCAGCGGAGGCACGTCCCCGCGGACCCCTGGGTAACTCGCCGCCCCCTGGGGGTGCTTGCGATCTGCGCTACAGTCGCCACCGTCGTGGGCTCTGGGGGGCCCAGCGAAGGTACGTCCCACGCGGACCACCTGGGTACCTCGCCGCCCCACGGGGTTCCTTGCGATTGCGCTACTGTCGCCACTTTCGTTGGCTCCTGGGGGGCCCAGCGGAGGCACGTCCCACGCAGACCACCTGGGTACCTCGCCGCCCCCTGGGGGTGCTTGCGATCTGCGCTACTGTCGTCACTTCCGTGGTCTCCTGGGGGGCCCAGCGGAGGCACGTCCCACGCGGACCACCTGGGTATCTCGCCGCCCCCTGGGGGTGCTTGCGATCTGCGCTACTGTCGCCACTTTCGTGGGCTCCTGGGGGGCCCAGCGGAGGTACGTCCCACGCGGACCACCCGGGTACCTCGCCGCCCCCTGGGGGTGCTTGCGATCTGCGCTACTGCCGCCACTTTCGTGGGCTCCTGGGGGGCCCAGCGGAGGTATGTCACACGCGGACCACCTGGGTACCTCGCCGCCCTCTGGGGGTGCTTGCGATCTGCGCTACTGCTGCCACTATCGTGGGCTCCTGGGGGGCCCAGCGGAGGTACGTCCCACGCGGACCACCTGGGTACCTCGCCGCCCCCTGGGGGTGCTTGCGATCTGCGCTACTGTCGCCACTTTCGTGGGCTCCTGGGGGGCCCAGCGGAGGTACGTCACACGCGCAATTCGAGCCGAAGGCCACGGCCGTGCCGTCGCTCCTGAGCAGCACCGCGTGGGAGCCTCCCGCGGCGACCTGCGTGTAGCTCAGGCCACCGTCCAGCGCCGGCACGCTGCACTGGCCGGCGTGATTCGAGCCGAAGGCCACGGCCGTGCCGTCGCTCCTGAGCAGCACCGTGTGGGCCCAGCCCGCGGCGACCTGCGTGTAGCTAAGGCCACCGTCCAGCGCCGGCACGCTGCACCGGCCGGCGTGATTCGAGCCGAAGGCCACGGCCGTGCCGTCGCTCCTGAGCAGCACCGTGTGTTCGCTTCCCGCGGCGACCATCCGTGGGCTCGGGGGCGCGCGCGGGCTCCTGGGAGCGCTCGGGGCTCCGGGGGGGGGCCACGGCTCGAGCCGGAGCGGCAGGCGGGGACCTCCAACTTCGCGTGCCCGCGCCCCGCGATGCGCGACGCGCGGCTCTCGCCGCCCCCCTCCGAGCGGCCATGGGGCACCCTGGGGCCCAGCTACGTCGGCATCCGTGGACGTGGATGGACACCCTCAGGATCGCAAGCGCCAGGGCTACTCGCTGAAGCGCTGGCCTCTCACCGAGACCCGCCGAGGCTGCGAGGGCTGGCATGGCGTTGCCACCGCCCCAGATCCCCCAGGACCCAGGGCCCATGGGAACATCGACCTGGATTCGGCGACACATCGCGGAGAGATCCGCACTGGGCCCCGATGGTGAAACCCCGCGTTCCTGGGCTGAGAGGCAGCGACGGTGGGGCCTTGGCTCGGCGGGGGAGGACAACATCGACCTGGACTCGGCGACGCATCGCGGAGAGATCCGCACTAGGCCCCGATGGCGAAACCCCAAGATCCTGGGCGGCGCGAGCTATCGGGTTCCCGTCGGCGTGGACTGGGCGACTGAGGGTGCATGCATCCCCCCCCCTGAGCCTAATGATTCCCCCCAGTGTATCTTCGTCGCCTGGCTCGCGGGTCTCTGGCGGCTGTCGGGGACCATCCGGGGACCCCCAAGACGCCTCTCGGCGAGGCGCAGCTGCTGGTACGCATTCCGAGGCCCACGAAAACATCCCTCCCTGGATGACATCCTGGGGCCCAAGACGAAGCACGGCGGCGACCCGACGCTACAACCCGAAGGCGTCGCGACGGTCTCGCCCGCCGAGCCCCGCTCAGGAGCCGTCCGCCTGGCAGGGCCGCGTCGGCGCGGCCGAGCCCGGGGCCCAGCCTGCCCGCGCCCAGCTCGCCCGCCAGCCAGTCGCGCACGCCAGCGAGCGGCGCGCCAGGCGCCGCCCGCACCCGGCAGCGCTCCACCCCGCCCAGGGTCAGGAAGCGCACCTCGCCAGGAAGGGCACGGGCCCTCCAGTGTCGCAGGCCTAGAGCCTGGAGGTTGACACCAACACCAGTACCGGCGGCGTGCCGCCACCGAGGGAAGAAGAGCCCGATCTCGGCGATGGTGGTAATATTCTGGCTTCCGAGGTGGCCGAAATGTTTCCACCAACACCGAAATCTAGGATCACCTTCCCCCTGTGGGGGCAAACCCCCTGCGTTGGTGTTGGTGCCCATTTCCAGGCCCCCTACAGCGTTCCGCTGCGACCTTCGCCTCCGCAGGCCGTCCACGGGCCCCAGGAATGTCAGACAACGACTCAGGATGAAGGTCTGGTCCATGGGGGACGGCCCCGGGGTCCAGGGCCCGTTCCCCTCGGGACCCGTTCCCTTCAGGCCGAGCACCGCGCCGCCGTCGAGCGACGCCTGCAGGAGCAGCGTCGCGCCGACGAGCAGGCGCGCGGTGTACGTCGGCGCCCCGTCCAGCGCTGGCACGTTGCACTGGCCAGCGTAATTCTCGCTGAAGGCCACGGCCGCGCCGTCGCTCCTGAGCAGCACCGTGTGGGAGCCTCCCGCGGCGACCTGCGTGTAGCTCAGGCCACCGTCCAGCGCCGGCACATTGCACTGGCCATCTTGATTCGAGCCGAAGGCCACGGCCGTGCCGTCGCTCCTGACCAGCACCGCGTGGGCCCCTCCGGCGGCGACCTGCGTGTAGCTCAAGCCACCGTCCAGCGCCGGCACGTTGCACTGGCCACGACCATTCCAGCCGAAGGCCACGGCCGTGCCGTCGCTCCTGAGCAGCACCGTGTGGAAGCCTCCCGCGGCGACCTGCGTGTAGCTCAGGCCACCGTCCAGCGCCGGCACATTGCACCGGCCATTGTGATTCGAGCCGAAGGCCACGGCAGTGCCGTCGCTCCTGAGCAGCACCGTGTGGACGTTTCCCGCGGCGACCTGCGTGTAGCTCAAGCCACCGTCCAGCGCCGGCACGCTGCACTGGCCCTCGCGATTCTCGCCGAAGGCCACGGCCGTGCCGTCGCTCCTGACCAGCACCGTGTGGGCCAAGCCCGCGGCGACCTGCGTATAGCTCAAGCCACTGTCCAGCGCCGGCACGCTGCACTGGCCCTCAAGATTCGAGCCGAAGGCCACGGCAGTGCCGTCGCTCCTGAGCAGCACCGTGTGGGCCGCGCCCGCGGCGACCTGCGTGTAGCTAAGGCCACCGTCCAACGCCGGCACGCTGCACTGGCCGGCGTGATTCTCGCCGAAGGCCACGGCCGTGCCGTCGCTCCTGAGCAGCACCGTGTGTGCGCCTCCCGCGGCGACCATCCGTGGGCTCGGTCGGGAGGCCCGGGGGCCCGCCGAGGGGGGCGCGCGCGGGCTCCTGGGAGCGCTCGGGGCTCCGGGGAGGGCCACGGCTCGAGCCGGAGCGGCAGGCGGGGACCTCCAACTTCGCGTGCCCGCGCCCCGCGATGCGCGACGCGCGGCTCTCGCCGCCCCCCTCCGAGCGGCCATGGGGCACCCTGGGGCCCAGCTACGTCGGCATCCGTGGACGTGGATGGACACCCTCAGGATCGCAAGCGCCAGGGCTACTCGCTGAAGCGCTGGCCTCTCACCGAGACCCGCCGAGGCTGCGAGGGCTGGCATGGCGTTGCCACCGCCCCAGATCCCCCAGGACCCAGGGCCCATGGGAACATCGACCTGGATTCGGCGACACATCGCGGAGAGATCCGCACTGGGCCCCGATGGTGAACCCCCGCGTTCCTGGGCTGAGAGGCAGCGACGGTGGGGACTTGGCTCGGCGGGGGAGGACAACATCGACCTGGACTCGGCGACACATCGCGGAGAGATCTGCGCTAGGCCGCGATGGCGAAACCCCAAGATCCTGGGCGGCGCGAGCTATCGGGCTCCCGTCGGCGTGGACTGGGCGACTGAGGGTGGATGCATCCCCCCCTGAGCCTAATGATTCCCCCCAGTGTATCTTCGTCGCCTGGCTCGCGGGTCTCTGGCGGCTGTCGGGGACCATCCGGGGACCCCCAAGACGCCTCTCGGCGAGGCGCAGCTGCTGGTACGCATTCCGAGGCCCACGAAAACATCCCTCCCTGGATGACACCCCGGGGCCCAAGACGAAGCACGGCGGCGACCCGACGCCTACAACCCGAAGGCGTCCGCGACGGTCTCGCCCGCCGAGGCCCCGCTCAGGAGCCGTCCGCCTGGCAGGGCCGCGTCGGCGCGGCCGAGCCCGGGGCCCAGCCTGCCCGCGCCCAGCTCGCCCGCCAGCCAGTCGCGCACGCCAGCGAGCGGCGCGCCAGGCGCCGCCCGCACCCGGCAGCGCTCCACCCCGCCCAGGGTCAGGAAGCGCACCTCGCCAGGAAGGGCACGGGCCCTCCAGTGTCGCAGGCCTAGAGCCTAGAGGTTGACACCAACACCAGTACCGGCGGCGTGCCGCCACCGAGGGAAGAAGAGCCCGATCTCGGCGATGGTGGTAATATTCTGGCTTCCAAGGTGGCCGAAATGTTTCCACCAACACCGAAATCTAGGATCACGTTCCCCCTGTGGGGGCAAACTCCCTGCGTTGGTGTTGGTGCCCATTTCCAGGCCCCCTACAGCGTTCCGCTGCGACCTTCGCCTCCGCAGGCCGTCCACGGGCCCCAGGAATGTCAGACAACGACTCAGGATGAAGGTCTGGTCCATGGGGGACGGCCCCGGGGTCCAGGGCCCGTTCCCCTCGGGACCCGTTCCCTTCAGGCCGAGCACCGCGCCGCCGTCGAGCGACGCCTGCAGGAGCAGCGTCGCGCCGACGAGCAGGCGCGCGGTGTACGTCGGCGCCCCGTCCAGCGCTGGCACGTTGCACTGGCCAGCGTAATTCTCGCTGAAGGCCACGGCCGCGCCGTCGCTCCTGAGCAGCACCGTGTGGGAGCCTCCCGCGGCGACCTGCGTGTAGCTCAGGCCACCGTCCAGCGCCGGCACATTGCACTGGCCATCTTGATTCGAGCCGAAGGCCACGGCCGTGCCGTCGCTCCTGACCAGCACCGCGTGGGCCCCTCCGGCGGCGACCTGCGTGTAGCTCAAGCCACCGTCCAGCGCCGGCACGTTGCACTGGCCACGACCATTCCAGCCGAAGGCCACGGCCGTGCCGTCGCTCCTGAGCAGCACCGTGTGGAAGCCTCCCGCAGCGACCTGCGTGTAGCTCAGGCCACCGTCCAGCGCCGGCACATTGCACCGGCCATTGTGATTCAGGCCGAAGGCCACGGCCATGCCGTCGCTCCTGAGCAGCACCGTGTGGACGTTTCCCGCGGCGACCTGCGTGTAGCTCAAGCCACCGTCCAGCGCCGGCACGCTGCACTGGCCTCTCGCGATTCTCGCCGAAGGCCACGGCCGTGCCGTCGCTCCTGACCAGCACCGTGTGGGCCCAGCCCGCGGCGACCTGCGTATAGCTCAAGCCACTGTCCAGCGCCGGCACGCTGCACTGGCCCTCAAGATTCGAGCCGAAGGCCACGGCAGTGCCGTCGCTCCTGAGCAGCACCGTGTGGGCCGCGCCCGCGGCGACCTGCGTGTAGCTAAGGCCACCGTCCAGCGCTGGCACGCTGCACTGGCCGGCGTGATTCTCGCCGAAGGCCACGGCCGTGCCGTCGCTCCTGAGCAGCACCGTGTGTGCGCCTCCCGCGGCGACCATCCGTGGGCTCGGTCGGGAGGCCAGGGGGCCCGCCGAGGGGGGCGCGCGCGGGCTCCTGGGAGCGCTCGGGGCTCTGGGGAGGGCCACGGCTCGAGCCGGAGCGGCAGGCCGGGACCTCCAACTTCGCGTGCCCGCGCCCCGCGATGCGCGACGCGCGGCTCTCGCCGCCCCCCTCCGGAGAGGGCATGGGGCACCCTGGGGCCCAGATACGTCGGCATCCGTGGACGTGGATGGACACCCTCAGGATCGCAAGCGCCAGGGCTACTCGGTGAAGCGCTGGCCTCTCACCGAGACCCGCCGAGGCTGCGAGGGCTGGCATGGCGTTGCCACCGCCCCAGATCCCCCAGGACCCCAGGGCCCATGGGAACATCGACCTGGATTCGGCGACATATCGCGGAGAGATCCGCACTGGGCCCCGATGGTGAAACCCCGCGTTCCTGGGCTGAGAGGCAGCGACGGTGGGGACTTGGCTCGGCGGGGGAGGACAACATCGAACTGGACTCGGCGACGCATCGCGGAGAGATCTGCGCTAGGCCCCGATGGCGAAACCCCAGGATCCTGGGCGGCGCGAGCTATCGGGCTCCCGTCGGCGTGCACTGGGCGACTGAGGGTGGATGCATCCCCCCCCCCTGAGCCTAATGATTCCCCCCAGTGTATCTTCGTCGCCTGGCTCGCGGGTCTCTGGCGGCTGTCGGGGACCATCTGGGGACCCCCAAGACGCCTCTCGGCGAGGCGCAGCTGCTGGTACGCATTCCGAGGCCCACGAAAACATCCCTCCCTGGATGACACCCTGGGGCCCAAGACGAAGCACGGCGGCGACCCGACGCCTACAACCCGAAGGCGTCCGCGACGGTCTCGCCCGCCGAGGCCCCGCTCAGGAGCCGTCCGCCTGGCAGGGCCGCGTCGGCGCGGCCGAGCCCGGGGCCCAGCCTGCCCGCGCCCAGCTCGCCCGCCAGCCAGTCGCGCACGCCAGCGAGCGGCGCGCCAGGCGCCGCCCGCACCCGGCAGCGCTCCACCCCGCCCAGGGTCAGGAAGCGCACCTCGCCAGGAAGGGCACGGGCCCTCCAGTGTCGCAGGCCTAGAGCCTAGAGGTTGACACCAACACCAGTACCGGCGGCGTGCCGCCACCGAGGGAAGAAGAGCCCGATCTCGGCGATGGTGGTAATATTCTGGCTTCCGAGGTGGCCGAAATGTTTCCACCAACACCAAAATCTAGGATCACGTTCCCCCTGTGGGGGCAAACCCCCTGCGTTGGTGTTGGTGCCCATTTCCAGGCCCCCTACAGCGTTCCGCTGCGACCTTCGCCTCCGCAGGCCGTCCACGGGCCCCAGGAATGTCAGACAACGACTCAGGATGAAGGTCTGGTCCATGGGGGACGGCCCCGGGGTCCAGGGCCCGTTCCCCTCGGGACCCGTTCCCTTCAGGCCGAGCACCGCGCCGCCGTCGAGCGACGCCTGCAGGAGCAGCGTCGCGCCGACGAGCAGGCGCGCGGTGTACGTCAGCGCCCCGTCCAGCGCCGGCACATTGCACCGGCCATTGTGATTCAGGCCGAAGGCCACGGCCATGCCGTCGCTCCTGAGCAGCACCGTGTGGACGTTTCCCGCGGCGACCTGCGTGTAGCTCAGGCCACCGTCCAGCGCCGGCACGCTGCACTGGCCATCGCGATTCTCGCCGAAGGCCACGGCCGTGCCGTCGCTCCTGAGCAGCACCGTGTGGGCCCAGCCCGCGGCGACCTGCGTGTAGCTCAGGCCACCGTCCAGCGCCGGCACATTGCACCGGCCATTGTGATTCTGGCCGAAGGCACGGGCCATGCCGTCGCTCCTGAGCAGCCCCGTGTGGACGTTTCCGCGGCGACCTGCGTGTAGGCTCAAGCCCACCGTTCCAGCGCCGGCACGCTGCACTGGCCCTCGCGATTCGAGCCGAAAGGCCTACGGGCCGTGCCGTCGACTCCCGCCCCAGCACCGTTTGTGGGCCCAGCCGCGCGACCGTTCCCTGCGGTGTAGTCTCAGGCCACCGTCCAGCGCCGGCACGCTGCACTGGCCGGCGTGATTCGAGCCGAAGGCCACGGCCGTGCCGTCGCTCCTGACCAGCACCGTGTGGGCCCAGCCCGCGGCGACCTGCGTGTAGCTCAAGCCACTGTCCAGCGCCGGCACGCTGCACTGGCCCTCGCGATTCGAGCCGAAGGCCACGGCCGTGCCGTCGCTCCTGAGCAGCACCGTGTGGGCCCAGCCCGCGGCGACCTGCGTGTAGCTAAGGCCACCGTCCAGCGCCGGCACGGCGCACTGGCCGCGGTCATTCGAGCCGAAGGCCACGGCCGTGCCGTCGCTCCTGAGCAGCACCGTGTGGGCCCAGCCCGCGGCGACCATCCGTGGGCTCGGTCGGGAGGCCCGGGGGCCCGCCGAGGGGGGCGCGCGCGGGCTCCTGGGAGCGCTCGGGGCTCCGGGGGGGGCCCCGGCTCGAGCCGGAGCGGCAGGCGGGGACCTCCAACTTCGCGTGCCCGCGCCCGGCGATGCGCGACGCGCGGCTCTCGCCGCCCCCCTCCGGAGAGGGCATGGGGCACCCTGGGGCCCAGCTACGTCGGCATCCGTGGACGTGGATGGACACCCTCAGGATCGCAAGCGCCAGGGCTACTCGGTGAAGCGCTGGCCTCTCACCGAGACCCGCCGAGGCTGCGAGGGCTGGCATGGCGTTGCCACCGCCCCAGATCCCCCAGGACCCCAGGGCCCATGGGAACATCGACCTGGATTCGGCGACATATCGCGGAGAGATCCGCACTGGGCCCCGATGGTGAAACCCCGCGTTCCTGGGCTGAGAGGACCTGGAGCGACGGTGGGGACTTGGCTCAGCGGGGGAGGACAACATCGACCTGGACTCGGCGACGCATCGCGGAGAGATCCGCACTAGGCCCCGATGGCGAAACCCCAAGATCCTGGGCGGCGCGAGCTATCGGGTTCCCATCGGCGTGCACTGGGCGACTGAGGGTGGATGCATCCCCCCCCTGAGCCTAATGATTCCCCCCAGTGTATCTTCGTCGCCTGGCTCGCGGGTCTCTGGCGGCTGTCGGGGACCATCCGGGGACCCCCAAGACGCCTCTCGGCGAGGCGCAGCTGCTGGTACGCATTCCGAGGCCCACGAAAACATCCCTCCCTGGATGACACCCCGGGGCCCAAGACGAAGCACGGCGGCGACCCGACGCCTACAACCCGAAGGCGTCCGCGACGGTCTCGCCCGCCGAGGCCCCGCTCAGGAGCCGTCCGCCTGGCAGGGCCGCGTCGGCGCGGCCGAGCCCGGGGCCCAGCCTGCCCGCGCCCAGCTCGCCCGCCAGCCAGTCGCGCACGCCAGCGAGCGGCGCGCCAGGCGCCGCCCGCACCCGGCAGCGCTCCACCCCGCCCAGGGTCAGGAAGCGCACCTCGCCAGGAAGGGCACGGGCCCTCCAGTGTCGCAGGCCTAGAGCCTAGAGGTTGACACCAACACCAGTACCGGCGGCGTGCCGCCACCGAGGGAAGAAGAGCCCGATCTCGGCGATGGTGGTAATATTCTGGCTTCCAAGGGGGCCGAAATGTTTCCACCAACACCGAAATCTAGGAACACGTTCCCCCTGTGGGGGCAAACCCCCTGCGTTGGTGTTGGTGCCCATTTCCAGGCCCCCTACAGCGTTCCGCTGCGACCTTCGCCTCCGCAGGCCGTCCACGGGCCCCAGGACTGTCAGACAACGACTCAGGATGAAGGTCTGGTCCATGGGGGACGGCCCCGGGGTCCAGGGCCCGTTCCCCTCGGGACCCGTTCCCTTCAGGCCGAGCACCGCGCCGCCGTCGAGCGACGCCTGCAGGAGCAGCGTCGCGCCAACAAGAAGGCGCGCGGTGTACGTCAGCGCCCCGTCCAGCGCTGGCACGTTGCACTGGCCAGCGGAATTCTCGCTGAAGGCCACGGCCGTGCCGTCGCTCCTGAGCAGCACCGTGTGGATGTTTCCCGCGGCGACCTGCGCGTAGCTCAGGCCACCGTCCAGCGCCGGCACGCTGCACTGGCCCTCGCGATTCGAGCCGAAGGCCACGGCCGTGCCGTCGCTCCTGAGCAGCACCGTGTGGGTGACTCCCGCGGCGACCTGCGTATAGCTCAGGCCACCGTCCAGCGCCGGCACATTGCACCGGCCCTCGCGATTCGAGCCGAAGGCCACGGCCGTGCCGTCGCTCCTGAGCAGCACCGTGTGGGCGAGTCCCGCGGCGACCTGCGTGTAGCTCAGGCCACCGTCCAGCGACGGCACATTGCACCGGCCATCGTGATTCGAGCCGAAGGCCACGGCCGTGCCGTCGCTCCTGAGCAGCACCGTGTGGGCCCTTCCCGCGGCGACCTGCGTGTAGCTCAGGCCACCGTCCAGCGCCGGCACGCTGCACTGGCCCTCGCGATTCGAGCCGAAGGCCACGGCCGTGCCGTCGCTCCTGACCAGCACCGTGTGGGCCCAGCCCGCGGCGACCTGCGTGTAGCTCAAGCCACTGTCCAGCGCCGGCACGCTGCACTGGCCCTGATTCGAGCCGAAGGCCACGGCCGAGCCGTCGCTCCTGAGCAGCACCGTGTGGGCCCAGCCCGCAACGACCTGCGTGTAGCTAAGGCCACCGTCCAGCGACGGCACGGCGCACTGGCCGCGGTCATTCGAGCCGAAGGCCACGGCCGTGCCGTCGCTCCTGAGCAGCACCGTGTGTTCGGGTCCCGCGGCGACCATCCGTGGGCGCGGTCGGGAGGCCCGGGGGCCCGCCGAGGGGGGCGCTTGCGGGCTCCTGGGAGCGCTCGGGGCTCCGGCTCGAGCCGGAGCGGCAGGCGGGGACCTCCAACTTCGCGTGCCCGCGCCACGCGATGCGCGACGCACGGCTCTCGCCGCCCCCCTCCGGAGAGGGAGGGAGGGCGGGAGGACTGGGGCAGGGGGGCAGGGAGGGGGAGGAAGGGGGAGGGGAGGGCGGGAAGGCGGAGGGGGGGGAAAGGGGGCAAGGCGAGGGGGTGGAGGGGCGGGGAGAGAGAGAGAGAGAGAGGCAGGGCAGAGAGGGAGCAGCCGCGGCCGCGAAGCCTGGGAGGAAACCAGGGGGCGGTGGGGAAGCCGCGGCCAAGCCCCGGGCCTGCACGGCGGCGGCGGCCGAGGCATCGGCGGCAGCGCCCCTGTCGGACAGAGGATGGGGGCAGCGCGGGGGGGCGGCCGGGCAGCCTGCGGGGGAAGGTCGTGGCAGTGCGTGTGGAAGTCAGACTGCGTGGCCCTGTAGCTGTCCCGGGCCTGCCCCGGGGACCCAGACCCCCTCGGGCTACGAAAGAATCACGACGGCAGGTTTCTCTCAATTATTTTCGGCCTTCGGGGGCCCTTACTGGGCCTCGGAACTGTCAAAAAACGGATCAGAACGAAGTACCGATCCCGGAGAAAGGGTCCAGACCTCTGGGGGTCGACGCTGCGAAAAAATCACGGCGTCGGGGGCCTGGGGAGCTGGGCGCCTCGTCCGTCACCGCAGCC